GGGAGGGAGGGAGGGAGGGAAGGGGGAGGAGGGAGAGAGAATATGAATTAGACTTGTGGCATTCAGGCATGGGGAACTCTCAGTCTGTAATGGTTTGTTGACAGCGCTGGGACCCAAAAATGCCTTGGTGTGTGGTGGTGTGAAGGGCACAAAATATCAGGATTTCCAGTGATCTACCCAGGAACTAAAAAGCAGGTGTTTAACCTGCTTGCCTTAGCTTGTGGACAACTAAAGGCTGGATAGAGAAGGAAAGCACGCTCCCCCCCCCCCCCACTTTGGAATTGCAGAAAAACTAGATAGAGGGTTTAAGTCTCTAGAGATACAGATTATGAGCAGTAACTTTGGGTAGAGCTCAGAGATCAACAAAGGGGTGTGTGTGTGTGTGTAGTCAAACTGGGGGTGGGGGTGGGGGGGATGGCTTCTGACCTTTGTCCCCACCCCCACCCCCAACCATGGTTCTGCACTGGTGTTTACAGCACTGCCCAGAAGAGCTTAACTGGGCTGGCTATGGGCCCTGGGGGGGCGGAACCTCAAAGTGACCCAGGGCAGAGAGGACTTGGTGGGAGGGCCCACAGCTAGCAAGCAAGCAAGCAGCAAAGAGCAGGAACATTCCATGATACAGCCTCCTTTTTTCCCTTCTTTTTTTTTTGGTGCCCGTCCCGGGGCTTGACCTCAGGGCCTGGAGAGCTGTCCCTGAGTTTCCGTGCCCAAGGCTGGTGTTCTACTTGGAGCCCCAGCTCCACTTCTGGCTGGCTGTTCCCAGCCGTTCCTGTGGGGGCTGGCTGGCTTCGAACCGGGATTCTCAGCTCTCAGCCTCCTGAATAGCTGGGAGGAAAGGCTAGAGCTGGCAGGTAGCTTCTTTAATGTCAGAGGCAGGGCATGAATGAGGGAGTTGTGGGAGACTGCGGAGGACTGTCCACCAGCGGCCGGCTGGACGCAGAGCTAACAGGGCTCCGTGGGAGGGCACAGGGCCGTGGCTGGGCTGCAGGGCCGGGTGATGCCAAGTCCCGGGGGTCCCCGAAGCCCTGCCGCGCCCCCCGCGTCCAGCCCGGATCCCCGCGGCCCCCCGCGTCCAGCCCGCGCTCCGGGCGCCCAGGCCCCGGCTGGCCGGTTACCTTGCTCCGGGCGCCGGGCGCGCTCAGGACCAGCTCGGGCAACAGCTCCCGGGGCGCCGCCTTGACGAACCACCACTGGATCTCCAGGGAATACGAAGTGGCGCCCCGGGCCCGGAAGGCGCACGGCATCTCGATGTCCTCGCCTTCCTGCACCGTCACATCTTTGGGGACCTCGGTGAAGGTAGCTGGAGGGTGACAGGGGGAGGGAGAGGCAGAGAGACACAGAGGCAGAGCCACACGAGAGAGGGCAGAGCGAGAGAGGCAAGGAAGGAGAGGCGGAGAGACAGACAGACAGACAGACAGACAAGAGACAGAGCCAGAGCCACCCAAGAGAGGGCAGAGCGAGAGGCAAGGAGGGAGAGACGGAGAGACAGACAAACAGAAGCAGAGCCACCCAAGAGAGGGCAGAGCGAGAGAGGCAAGGAGGGAGAGACGGAGAGACAGACAGACAGACAGACAGAAGCAGAGCCACCCAAGAAAGGGCAGAGCGAGAGGGAGGGAGGCCGGGAGGGAGGGGAGAGGCGGGACCATTCATAAGG